TAAGAATTTTGTTAATGGTCTCCAGGGGAAGTATTTTTGTAATTTTATCAGTGAAAACGGAAATGTCACGTCCAGTGTCGTTTTGGAATCCATGACAAAATTATTCGAGATACAGTGGATGTGCGTGTTCTTTGGGGTAGTTTGCGCTGGTAGTGTGCTTCTGTTGAGTATATTTATTGGAACTATAAAGATGTGCGCGGTGCACCTCTGCAAATGTGATTGTGCACAACCACAGCTCAAAAAGACACATCCTAAGAGTCAATGTGACGAGGCTACCAAGCCCAATTCTCTGATTGTTTCCACAGAAAACAGCGATGACGAATATTCAGATGCGGATCCTCTTCTGAGGGATGCAAATGTAGCAGACGACAGAAACTCCTCACATGACGGTGAGACCGCCACAGCAACGTCAGGCGTCAAAACAAAGCTGGGGAAGAAAATAAAGAAAGTCCGTAGTCAAGTGATTCTCTTTCGAGAGACGGTCAAAGACACCAGTAGCCAGGCTGCCAGTAAGGTCAAGGCGGGGGTGGTGATGGGGGTGGAGCAGGTCAAGTTTGGAGTCATGTCCATGAAAGAGTTTTGTGGAGCCGGTGAGATTGCTCAGACTGTTTCCATCATGTCTGTCAACACAGATGTCGATAGTGAAAAAACGTCTACACACATCTCCAAAGTCACAACATTTTGAAAACTATAAAATGCAGTGTTAGAGTGTGCGAGTGTTAGACAAAATTTGACATCGAACAACCCTCTCCATATATATCGTAATATAAATCTTGATATTCTTTCAAAACGTTCGAATACGAAAGAAAACGTGTTCTGTCATTTACCTGTGTTCATTTTTAGTCCATATTCTGCATGTTTTGTTTAACGTTTGGGAATACTAGTAAACTCGTATTTTTTATGAATTACTTTACTCATTCTGAATGCATCAATACGCAGGTCATATTAAACAACATTGAAAGTATGGAAAGGAGGCGCAAACCAGAAGAAAAGAAAAGTAAACAAGAGGCTAACGGGCTTAAAATTGCTCTTCTGATAAGTTATACAATCATTATCACTTCTATTCTAAGCCTCTTCGTATCCCACATGTATGTAGATAATACCTTGAAATTTCAAAAGTAGGTTATGACCTTTTTAATTCAGGTGATCTATTACTATCTTTTTCGTTTATCGACATGCATCGTGCGTTGACATTTGAACATTTTCAGCTTCTCTGAAACCACTCAACACATATTTTTAAACAATTTTGGTATATTTAATACTCTATGGGCGCAGGGAAACAAAAAAATTGTGAATTTCTTGCCCCCCCCCCCCCTCCAGTGACCTGGGGGATGTAATACAGCTGGTATGTATACTGAAAGGAAAAAGAAACGCAGGGTAAACTTTTGAGGTGAAGTAAATTTGTTTTTCTTAAAATACGTTTTAGTTTTCCTATCTAACATTCAAAATCATCTTTCAAAAAGATATAACCAAAGTCTCATATGATTCTGTCTAATTATTCATGAGTTATTGCAGTTCAAATGACGATACCCCCCAAAAGTGAAAATCGAAAACTCTCATTATCTTCAATGTCTATCTCGTGCATCTGTCAAAGTCTTATTTCTCCTTTGCATGGAATTTTATCGGAATGTTTATCTTTCAAACCCTGGCTATATTTAGCATTGGTAACCACGCAAAAAAATAAGTCAAACGGCGCGCGCATGCGCCAGTGAGAGGAATACACCAGTAAGTTGAATGGCTCAAAAAACCAAATTGCGGAATTGTTTTCTTTCAAATTTCGTATGAATGTAATGATTATAATCGTCTACTCTATAAATGTCTGTTTTTGTGTTAGTAAGGTGGCGATTTAAGAGATGACAGGACGAGTAACCCGCTCGTAACATGGCTCTGTTTTGCGTTAACGTCATCGTCACGGTTGATTGAAAACCACTCCAGACCCTCTCTGACAACGGGTAGAATGTTTTATGGGGGAAAATTTACAAGAGACTGTTTACTAAACCATTGTTGCCTTTTTCATTAATTAGGCAATTCGAAGACAAGACCCCATTGAACTTCCGTAAACTGTGCCAAGATTGCAATAGATTCATAATGTCTCTTAATATTGAAAAACGATGTGCATACCTCATATGCATCAAATAATGCAACAAGATTTGTTGACAAACTCGTCGTTTTCAAATTGCACGTGTTTCGGGCTTTTTAGCGTTTTCCCTACGTGACGTCACAAATTTTACGGTTGAGTTATTCTGAATACTGATTTTGATGCACAGTAACTAAATTTCCCTTCTGACCAATTTTCGTAATTTTCGGTCATGTGGTCAAATTTTTATAAAAAATTATGCTACCCTGCGTTTCTTTTTCCTTTCAGTATACAAAGTTATGAAGAAGGGTACCTCTTCCTAACATGTGAATTTCAAGGCCTCAGGACGAGGGGTTCTGCTCTTAAGGCGGGATTCTAATGATTTGATAGTGAACATGTATTAATACTTTGAAAATCTTCTCTTCTGCTCCTGGGTATTAAATAAACAAAGTTTATAGTTTTGATGAACAAGAATGCCTCTTCCAAAATTGTGAAATCCATGGCCCTACTGGTCAGGGTGAGGGTTGTTAGGGCATGGTGCCAGTAGTGAAAGTGGAACAAATACCTAGAGGCAGAGGAGATTTTCAAACATTAAAGCCCTACCCTAATACCAAAACCCCTGACCCTAGTGCCATGAATTAATATCATTTGGAAGAGGTAATCATAATTATGTTAGTTTTTTAATACTCAGGAGCAGAAAAAAAAGATTTTCAAAGAATTAAAGTATTTTCACTGACATTTATTAAATAAATAGAATAAGGCTCCTTTAACTCTTATTTTATTCCCTTTTTTTCCATGGCCTGTATGATCTGCTTGATGCATATTACTGTACATGTATAAGAATAATTACAGTACTAAACATTCAATGAAAATAACTTGATGATAAACAGAGACAATATCTTGATGGATTCCGACTACATGTATAATGCCAAACAGGAATAAATTAAAGTATAATGGCACAATAATATTGAAATTTATCACAGAAAATAACTTCACAAATGGTAATTTCTCTAATTTCAAAAATATACCTGTATGAAGAGAAAGTTAAAGAATTAAAGTGCATGCTTTTTAATAACAAATGTAAAAAGAATATATTTCTTAATCATAATCAAAAATATAATTGAAAATCTTTGTATTCATCCTGCAGATTCATGAATTAAAAATAAACTAGTATAAACATTTTATTATATACATAAAATGGATATAATGCACATACGTGTGCATGTAACAATTACCATCAAAACGTTATTCATAATTTATCAATAAAAACTAGAACTGTCCAATAGGGACGAATACCCCCCGCTGGGTTTTTCAGAGAATGTGCCAATTCAAAAATACTTTATGGATCTAGAGGTGTTCACAATTTACTTACAAAAATTTGCAGTGAAATATGACTGCTCATCATGTTTCTTAATGAATGAAACAAAGGTGCAACCAAATGAAACATCAATACTAATACACTGTAATTCCATTGTAACATTATTTTTTTTATTTAATTTTTTTATTTCTGCATTAAAAAAATTTATTGCAATTATGTGTTATGTCACTCTGCAAACTGATTGTTGAAAAAAAATCATATTATACAAAATCAAATTAATCTTGATAACTTTATATCAAATTGAAAATAAAGAGCTGGTCATCCAGTAATGAAGTGCTTTGACAGACAATAAATTACAATTAAGAGAATAAGAGAAGAGAGATCTTTAATTCTTGTGCCTGATTCCCAGGAGATTACACATGGTTGATAATGAGATGCCTTAATGTTCAACTTCCCACACCAAACTCATTAATTTATCTTTAACTGGATGCATGTCCAGTCATTATTCCCAAGAGGCAAATGAAATTACATTATCTTCTGTGCAATGTAAAAACTGTTTTTAGCACTTGATGAAGTTTTTTTTTAAAGTTTATATGAGTAGTTTTAAGCTGTAGTATTTTTGTACAGATATTCTATATTCTATGTCTCAAACCTTATACATGAGCCCAAAATGAACAAGTCAATTAAAATAAAAAAATAAAACCTGTAAAATACAAAAAAATGAACAAAAAGAGTTGAAAATTCCAATTGCACACCTTCATATGGTGAATAATAAGTGTACAAATTTTCAGATTAATCCTTGCAATAGTTTCTGAGAAACGGTCCGGACAAAACCACAAAATAAAAATGAAAAAACACCTGTAATATTCAAAATAATAATCGAATCAAGATGAAAATATCAGGTGCACAACTTCATATGGTGAATAATATGTGTACAAATTTTCAGACAAATCCTTCCAATAGTTTCTGAGTAATGGTCCGGACAAAATCTCGTCTACAGACAGACAGACAGACGGACAGACGGACATGGTGATTCCAATATACCCCCCCTAAACTTCGTTTGCGGGGGGTATAATTAAATTTAAACCCTTTAAGAAAGTATGTACCAATTTTATGTGAAAAATAAAAAAAAATAAATCGATCCACTGTTTCATTTTTCAAACATTACATGTATTTGTTTATAATGAATTTGTATAATAATATAACTCAGTTATACTCAGTTGATGTTGCAATTAGAAAAGGGATATATATCTCCCAATCCTACCATCTCCCAAAAGAAAGAAAAACATTATTTTACACATCAATTAAAAAAATATACATTCTTTGCTTAAAACAAACTCATCTCAAGAAATAAAAGATATACATATATGTAATAAAATATGTTCAATCAATCACATCAACTACAAAACTGGAAAAAAAATATGTTGGATTAATTTGAAAAGTAAAATCCTAGCACGTACATTACTATTCTAAATCTATTAAGTTAAAACGAACATACACTTAGGACTTATAAAATTCTGATAAAAATGACTGACCAGATTTCCCCATAAGTTTTAATGTGTAAAATATTATAAGCAATAAAATAGCTGGTAAAATGTTATATAATATATAGAAATGAAAATTCAACACAAAAATGACTAGAAAACTTAAAAGCTGTATTACACCACAGAATATACTTTAAAAAAAATGAAAAATGAAATAAAGTTATATTTTCAGAAAAATAATCTAATGAAGAAAAACAGTTCTATAGAATCTGATGGACTATTATACTACATGTACGATTTGACATCATGGCCTATAATATGCATCCCATATAACAACTGGTAAATATTCAGGCTGTGTAGTCTAGAAATAGAGTTCTCTAATGTAAGTTATAATATTCACGATGATGTAAAAAACTAAATATCACAAATAGTAAGTGCAATGTTAATCTCTTTCTTACGTGTATATACAAATGCCCAGCATAGTAAGGGTCCTTTCTATATCGGACAGGAAGACAAAAACAAATGTACATTCTTTAGACACCTTTCAATACTGTCATACAGTATATTATGTACTTTGTGTGGTTCTTAAAAGCTAGCTGATGCATAAAACAATTGGTCATACCAAAAGTGTAGATAGACCAAGTTATGATCACATTAAGTGTGTCAAGATCAGTCTGTAAATAGGTCAAGGTCAGTTGAACAATTCCTCAGTGTCCTCATTCCTGTTAGAGACAGAAGCCCCCGTGAACCATGAATACTTGATTTTTCTCTTGGAGTACAGGTCTCTCACTTCTCTCACAAACAATGGCAGAATACACAGGGCTGTCAGAAGTGTCTGCATTGAAAAAGAGAGAGTGAAAAATTAATGAATCAGGAGTCTCGGCCAAGTCTGTTGCTCTCAAAGTTCACAGTTTTTACTATAAAATTGGAATAAATGTTGCACATAGGGTTGAAATATATTTCTTTAGTATTTACAAAGACCTGTATCTTTTTTGTTTTCATAATTTAATATCCATTGAAATTTGTTCACAAGAACAAAAATTCAACAAATAGAATAAGGATATAATGAAGTATCTTGAAATAATCAATATATCAAAACATGCATGTGCCCTTGACATGTATAACTTAACAAGTAATCTTCTCTTTCTTGGATCATTTTTCAAGAGTCTCCTGGAATCACTATAGCTACAATTCAAGGAAAAACAATTATTTTCAGCACAGCACCCATTACTTACCATTAACATAAACAGATAAAACACTGATCTCCATCCCAAACCATCCTGAATCAGAGGTACCAGAATCTGAAATGACAAAACCATGATGAGAGAGAAATTATCTTGGACAAAGCCATCTTCAAAACAAGAGGCCCATGGGCCACATCGCTCACCTGAGAAACTTTGACCATTCTGTTCTTTACCAGATTTCCCCCTTGTTATACATAATGCATCCCCACCCTACCCCACTGATCATAATTTAGACATTTTGAAATCTACACTACCCCATGATCCTTCCATGGGCACATATGTTTCAGCTTTTTTGGCCCAGTGGTTCCTGAGAAGAAGATTTTTCCTATATATTTCTATGTAAAACTTTGATTCCCTATAATGGCCCCGCCCTTCCCCCGGGGATCATGATTCCTACAATTTAGAATCTACACTACCCCAGAATGCTTCCACATAAGCTTAACTTTTTCTGGCCCAGTGGTTCTTGAGAAGAAGATTTTCAAAGATTTTTCCTATATATTTCTATATAAAACTTTGATTCCCCATTGTGGCCCCGCCCTTCCCCCGGGGGTCATTATTTGAACAATTTAGAATCTACATTATACCAGGATGCTTCCACATAAGTTTCAGCTTTTCTGGCCCATTGGTTCTTGAGAAGAAGATTTTCAAAGATTTTTCCTATATATTTCTATGTAAAACTTTGATACCCCATTGTGGCCCCGCCCTACCCCCGGGGGTCATGATTTGAACAATTTAGAATCTACACTACCCCAGGATGCTTCCACATCAGTTTCAGCTTTTCTGGCCCAGTGGTTCTTGAGAAGAAGATTTTCAAAGATTTTTCCTATATATTTCTATATAAAACTTTGATTCCCTATTGTGGCCCCACCCTTCCCCCGGGGGTCATTATTTGAACAATTTAGAATCTACACTATACCAGGATGCTTCCACATAAGACTAGCTTTTCTGGCCCAGTGGTTCTTGAGAAGAAGATTTTCAAAGATTTTTCCTATATATTTCTATATAAAACTTTCATTCCCCATTGTGGCCCCGCCCTTCCCCCGGGGGTCATGATTTGAACAATTTAGAATCTACACTACCCCAGGATGCTTCCACATAAGTTTCAGCTTTACTGGCCCAGTGGTTCTTGAGAAGAAGATTTTTTAATGACCCAACCCTATTTTTGTCTTTTCTTGATTACATTGTATCTCCCCTTGCGAGGGGATATGTCCCTTCATTTTAACAATTTAAATTTCCCTTCACCCAAGGATGCTTTGTACCAAGTTTGGTCAAAATTGGCCCAGTGGTTCTTGAGAAGAAGTCGAAAATGTGAAAAGTTTACAGATGGACAGACGGACAGACAGACGGACGGACGACGGACAAAATGTGATCAGAAAAGCTCACTTGAGCCTTCGGCTCAGGTGAGCTAAAAACTTCTTTACTTGCCCTCTCCAGAATGACTAACTAAATAAGCCCAAAAGTTGTTACACAACAAGGAAACAAATTATTATTTTTACAAAAAAAAAATCATTTTCTATCAGAAAGAAATGTAAGATTAACTTTTCACTGTTTCAAAAAATCTCAATCTAACCTGTCCAATGGCTGCCCCGACACTTCCTGTTCCATCAATTATACCAGTCACTGTTGCTAAGGCCTCGCTGTTTCCCTGGACTGGTCCCTGCTTTCCTGTTTAACAAAATATTGAAAAGATGTGTTTATTCAGGTAAAACATTGAAAAGGTGTGTTTATCAGGTAAATCATTGAAAAGGTGTGTTAATTCAGGTAAAACATTGAAAAGGTGTGTTTATTCAGGTAAAGCATTGAAAAGGTGTGTTTATTCAGGTAAAACATTGAAAAGGTGTGTTTATCAGGTAAATCATTGAAAAGGTGTGTTAATTCAGGTAAAACATTGAGAAGGTGTGTTTATTCAGGTAAAGCATTGAAAAGGTGTGTTTATTCAGGTAAAACATTGAAAAGGTTTGTTTATCAGGTAAATCATTGAAAAGGTGTGTTTATCAGGTAAATCATTGAAAAGGTGTGTTAATTCAGGTAAAACATTGAAAAGGTGTGTTTATTCAGGTAAAGCATTGAAAAGGTGTGTTTATTCAGATAAAACATTGAAAATGTGTGTTTATTAAGGTAAAACATTGAAAAGGTGTGTTTATCCAGGTAAAGCATTGAAAAGGTGTATTTATCAGGTAAAACATTGAAAAGGTGTGTTTATTCAGGTAAAACATTGAAAAGGTGTGTTTATCCAGGTAAAGCATTGAAAAGGTGTGTTTATTCAGGTAAAACATTGAAAAGGTGTGTTTATTCAGGTAAAACATTGCAAAATTTTTTTTTCAGGTAAAACATTGAAAACATGACTGTTTATTTTTACCCTTTTATTGAGCCAATTGAAAAAAAGAAGTATTCAAAGAAGAAATATAATAGAACTGGTTTAAATTTTACAATAATTTATTCAACATGTAAGAGGGTTGTCCCAAAATTTCGTAGACTGAGCTCATATCTTTCAAAGAAATTAATGTATCTTTGTAAAATTTTCAGGGTGGATTAAGCGTATTCTTGGCAGATAAATTACGAAGTTTTACCATGTTTATATGAAAACTTTTCGAGTAACAATATTTAAAGTGATATCGTTCTCTAACACCCGGAGCAATCTGCAACGTCAAAAAATACAAATGTCAACGGGTCAAATTTTTGGCGAAAATATTTCAATTACCAGAATCAAATTCTTAAATTAAACGAAATTGTTACAATTATAAATTTGAAATATCTTCATTATTATGATATGATCAAACTTTAAAATATGTAAACAAAGTATATGAATGTACAGGTACGAAATAATAATAATTTGAAAATGCTATATTTCTATGGGCTTTTCGTCTGTTTCTGTAATGGAGTTGCACAATGTAACTCTTGCCGATTTCTTAGTCCTGTCTTTTATTTTAGTTACTGTTATTCACATATACATAGAGAACCCGTTTTAGTCATTTTAAATACTAAGGACGAGAAAAAGTTTCCTAGTCTACCAAACATTTATGACTGGTACATTTCTATAAGAGTGAATTCAGGATCAAAACACTTGATCATAGTCCACTGCGCCGCCTGTGCCAACGCAGCCGCCATTTTGCGAAAAGTCGGATTTCAACCCTATGTTTATAAAATGTTATAAAATTCGTATTTATCAAAGCATTAACACCAAAATTTGAGGAAATATAGTTAATAAAACAGTATTAAGAATTTTCATTTCCATTAAAAAATAAGGGGTTGTAATTACTTTTCCATAGGATTTTAAATACGATATACCAAATTTAAATTGCAACTTTTGGGTATTGCGCCGCCTTCCTACACCAGACAATGAAATATGTCTTTTAAATTGGAATAATTTGTGTAGTTACTTCACATTTGTCCATAAATTTATTTGATATTATTGGTTTAATCTATATACGAAGTTTCATTAATGTATGACGTAGGGTTCCTACAAAACAACGCTTGTCTACGGAATTTTGGGACAACCCTTGTATTGTGAATGTGGATAATTTCTACAAGAATCTCTCTGTTTCCCGCAAGTATTCTCATGATTCAGATATTATAGAATAAGACTACATGTATAATTTAAAGAAGTGTTCAAACAAGAAATAAAATGACAATAAAAGAACTGGTTTAAATTTTACAATTCAACATGTATTGTCAACATGGATACTTTCTGCAAGAATCTCTCTGTTTCCCCTAAGTATTCTCATGATTCAGATATTATAGAATAAGACTATAATTTATCAGTGTCTAATACATGTATATTAAAACTTTATTTTTGCATACACTATATTAACTTTACTCTGGTAAGATATTGAAAACTCTGATGTCTGAGAAATTAAATTACATGGACAACTGTTTATATTGTATGCAAAGAACTTCAATTACCGGTACTAGGCATTTTGGACAATTCTCAAAGGTTTCCTTTCTTTAAGGCTATTAAACTCACCAAGATCTGCAGAGATTGCTGCACTGACTAGATTGGCCACGCCCCCAATAAAAAATCCCACCACTGCCATCAACAGACCGTTCATAGTCAAGGTATTGCTTAAATCGGAATCTGTTGTAAAGGGGAAATACAAAAAAATACATTAGCAAAAATTGTTGTAGTACTGAAGGATTGATACAATCTTTGCTTGCTAAGTAGGTTGTGTAAAATAGAATGACGACCATAGGTTTAGCAGTGAAAAAAAAATTGTGGTTTCATAATTCCATACTTAAATTCTGCTTGTTGTCTACACAAAATAGGATTCCATAACTCTGACCTTCTTATTACACTTGATTTCAATGTTTTATGTCAGACAAGGTGGAAGTTATGAACAGACAAATTAAAAATAAGTGAACATCATATTACATACTATAGATAAACAGTGCTGGAATGCCCAGGATCAGCATTGGTATAACTATTACACTCCTGTGCTGGAATCTGTCCTACAATCAGAAATCATTCACTTACTTTTTTCATTACATTATTACTAAAAAGAAGAAGTGTCATTCAGAACTAGATCAGTAAAACTATATATCTCCTAGCTATCTGGAATTTGTACAAGGAAAAACAGGCTTGTAGTGCAGATCAAAACAGATGAATTAACTTCTGTGAGTTTATAAAATTTTCCTTAGCATTAAAAAGTAATTTTATTTCACATACATTTAGTATGAAGTATTCAATCAGGAATGTCACAAAAAATTTATTTGAATTTTAGTTAATAGAATTTCATTACAGTAACCAATTCTACTTATTCAAGGAGAAAAATAAATAATGATTTTTATTTTCAACTTACAGATATAAAACCAAATATTGTTCCACCTGAAAAATAAAATGTATAATTTGGTCTTTCTGCTCATCACTGATTCCACTCACATCATACTAGAGAGATATATCATCAGCCATGTGGGAGTGGGGGCTAAAAAATATGCTCTACTGATCAAGGGTTGGGGTGGGGCTAAAAAACATTCTCTACTGATCAAAGGGTTGGGGTGGGGTGTACAAAAAAATGCTCTAACTGATCAAAGGGTTGGGGTGGGGTGTACAAAAACATGCTCTACTGATCAAAGGGTTGGGGTGGGATGTACAAAAATATGCTCTACTGATCAAAAGGTTGGGGTGGGGTGTACAAAAAAAATGCTCTACTGATCAAGGGGTTGGGGTGTACAAGAAACATGCTGTACTCACCTATGATTCCCCCCACATCATACCAGATAGATATATCGTCAGCCACTGTCTCTTTCCACCTGTACTTATTGTGGAGGTAGTAGGGCAGCCAGAAGAAAAAGGAATAGTTGACTAGCTTTAAACAGGCATAGGCTAAGGCATACTGAAAAAAATAAAGAGCACTAGTATTAGTTTTAATTGAAATCTTCTCAAAAGGTTTACATAAAACTATTGTGAATCAGCCTTAATTCGAATACCAAAAGATTCTCTATGTCAAGTTTAGTTCAAATATGCCTACTGGCTGGAGAAGATGTGAACAGTTTACAATGACAATACAGTAACACTTGGTTATAATAAAGTCACTGGGACCTAGAAAATAACTGCTTTATACCTGATTCATTATATATGTATAAGTACTGTTCCATGTAAGATTCAGGCAGAGGGTGGAACATGAACATGATGAAAGATCTTTTTGATGATTTAAATGAATAGTAAAATGTATGTTCATAGACTTGAGCTTTATAAAACAACATTTTTTTTCATTGGTCATTATTAAATCTATATAGCTGGGGATCTAAGAAAACTTCGCTATATTCATGAATTTGCAATATCTGTGTTCCTATACTAAACGAGTTTTATTGTAACAGAGTTTCATTCAGAAAACTCACTTGAGCCTTTTGCTCAAAAACAAATATTTCAACATTCACATGCATCATCTACATAATAATAAGTCAGGGGGAGGACCAAACAAAAAAGCAAATTCAAAATTTGATTTGTAAAGGATTAAAGGATTTATGCAATGCGACTCAATGTTTTTTTCATGTTAAAGAATTCTTTAAAAAATAACTTCTCTGAAAATTTCATTAAAATCCGTCCACTTAATATAGCTGAGATATTGCCAGAAAACTCAGTTTCACACCTGAATGGTTATTTGAAATGCACGGTTTTGGGCTTAAGCATATCATGTGACGTCACTACATGAACACAGTCACCATTTTGAAGAAAAGAAGAGTGCACAAGGACCTATCGTTCTGACATATTTTGTGTTTATTTAGGGTTTCAGATGATTTATTTGAACATAAAACATTTGAATATAAAAAAAGAATGTCAACACATAAACAAGGAACTTACCAATGCTACCCCTGGTAGACGTAAGGCACTACAGAAGTCTATGGCTGCTGGTCTATCCTCAGAACTGGAGGTGTTGATT